GGCAGGCTTCGGACAGGCCACAGAGAGGCCGCGGCAGGCCTGCCGGCTGCCGAGGAGCGTTTGAGGGCGGGGCCCGTGGGTGTCTAACGTCGCCTTCGGAAGCCCAGAGAAAAAGCTTTCTGAGCCAAGCTGCGGCCTTTGTTTGGCCAGTGCAGGAGTGATGCCGACGCAGTAGGGCTTTGAAGGCGGGGGTGGCTGCTTAACGTGGCATGCTGGGGCTTTCGTTTGCACTGCCACCCGTTCCACCCTCCGGTGTCCCTGGCGCCGCCCCGCTTAGGCAAGGGCTAAGCAGGGGTCGGCGGATATATATATATATATATATAACTTTGATCTTGTCTTGACACACTATGGCTCTTGCTCGAGTGTAGCTCAGGCTTACTGTGGGCCAAAGAAGGTCCGAACAGCTTTGTGGTCGGACTGGCGTGGGATAGGCTCGGGCTTTGTTGGCCATTTGCTTGCTAAGGAAGTCTTGCAGTCTCATGTCTAATTCAAGCCTGTTTGATCGGCGTGATATGTATCTATATACTGTATTTTTCTTGCTGTAAAGACATATATCAGCCAAGGCGAATTTATGTTTGGCCAGACAGCCGCAAGCAAATCGTTAAGACCTCAACATCTTGGACTCAGACATGATGCAATGCGATTTGAGTTATGCTCCAGATAGTTCTTACTTTGGCTCAGGTTGAGCCCCAATACGTTTTGGAAGACTTCACTGGACAGGGGCATACGGACTGCTCAGAGTCAGAGTGTTTTTGATGTGACTATTCGGACTGTTTGTAGCTTGCCCAAAGTTCAAACCTTTTTTTTGTTGTTTTTTTAGACATTATTTGTCCTTTAAATGTCCTTTATATATAATATATAGATGTTGTTTCTATTCTATTTAGACTTCTTCTTTAGGCCTTTCTTAAAAAAAGAAAACGCGATTGTTCGGACTGTTTTTGCTCCTATTTCAAACCTTGACTGTAGGACGATGTGACATGCCTCAGCCGCCTGTCATCCGTGACAGGTTTGCTTGCCACGGGAGGCGGGGATGATCAAGCAGCTGTGACTCCCAAGCTTTCATTCAACCCGGAGGTGACGATGGATATGTTTGCTTTTGGAAGATTCAGGACCGAAATATGGAAGCTGAGACTGGTTCACAGTAGTAGCAAGAAGTTACTAGTAGCTCCTGGCATTACTACTCAGAACAAGAAGCTACTAGTAGCAAGGGCGCTATTAGGTGGAGGCCATCGCTATTAGGTTGGAGGCCGTCACTACTAGGAACAAGAAGCTACTAGTAACAAAGGTGCATCGCTACTAGTAGCAAGGGTTCACTGACTGGAGAGTTCATTTCACGCAACCTGAGGAAACCTCAGCGGGCAATGGCGCCAGTTCACGACGCTATCGACTGTTTGACAACACTCAGGCAGCGAGCACTGAGCACTTTTCAGAGGTTGAAAGTGGTCAGCTAAAAGATGCCAAAGAGGCTTCTTGAAGGCCTGCTTACTACTTCCAGCATGCTGCAGCATGCATGATTTCTTCCAAGAATGCTTTGCTCAGCACCTTTCCGCTGAGCGGTGCTTTGTGCTCATGCCCATGCTCAGGTTCCATCACAGGCTTACAACCCGTCCGGAGGCTCAGTGGCTCGTGCACATCCTTTTCGCTCTTTTCATACTTGTGTGATCTTGTGTGTATAGTAACTCAGAGTTCTCAGGGAGCCTGATCGACGCAAAGTCAAGAAAGGCCAGGTGACAGTGACAGCTTAGAATCGTTGGGAGGCAGACAACTCGAAAGTGGGCTGAATGGCGCTACAACTATTTAAACCCATCTCAGCGACAAAGCATATTATGCATATATGACTATTCGATCACGATTGCACAACGTGCTGGTTGTTTGGGAGCCGCAATGATATGCTGCCGTACATGCTGCGTATGTAGAAGTACACATGCATAGACATATTCATATTTTTGCAGTGCATCTTGCATGCGGCATGCGTAGAAGTACACATGCTTCCACTGGTCATCTTGCCCGGCGCATCTAGAATGCACATGTACAAGTGTGTACAGTATATTTTCACTGGTGATCTTGCATGTGTAGAAGTGCGCATGTAACAATTCGCTGGTTATCCTGTATCCGTAGATATTTATGCTGTGCAGAAGATCTCAGATGCAGAAGATCTTATATATCTATCTCTCAGGGCTGTGCAGAAGATCCTTGCAAAACGTCACGACAGACATTGTACTGTACTCCAACTAGCAAATATTTCGAGGCACCGTAAGGCCATGAACATTAACAAGATAACCGAACACGAAAGAAAGGCCCCCATCGTCTAAGACGAAAAGGGCGCATGCGGGACACGGGAAAGCGACAACCGTAAAAGCGCCCGGCACCTGAGGCACTGCAACTAGACGAATGATGTGCACGTGTAGACAAACATACCGGTATACTGTACACCTGGACCGAACCATTGAAGCGTTACTTGAGGGTTTCTGTTTTTTTTGTGCACCTTCTTCGATTCTTGGTGTTGCCGGATTCCGTGTCATCATAGTTCAAGAGCTGACTTTGAGCAGACTTGCACCTAGCGCCTTGTGATTTGTCAGGGGATTTTACTACAGTGGTGACCTCAGTGTGGCGAAGTTGACCAATTCAACAAGAGCGGTCGCTGATGTTGTGTATTCAGGCAAACAAGCGCATATCGAACACCAACCAGCAACAGGCCCTTTGATGTCAACCTGTGTTTTGATTGGTAGTTTCGAGCCTTCAACTAAGTGAAATTGATTGTTGTACCACTTGAGCACTTGCAGGGCTACCTGGATTCGCCATCGTCACTGCCGCTAACCGAGCTCTTGCAATATGTTTTGAACATCCATCAGCTCAACTGCCTCACATGCTAGTTGTAAGGATTGTCGCCATTGTTGCACGTAAAAGTTTCGACAATCATTCACGGCCACCAGTCGTCAGGCAAACTGGGGAAGGCCTGCTGCCAACGTGACGCAAAACGTTGGCAGTTCACATCCACACTTCGTACTCAGATATTGCAATGTGAGGTCAAAGCAATGGTTGGCCTGAGGAGAAATAGCTTGAGGTAAGCTTTTGTTGGTTGCTTCAACAAAGATCATTCACTTCAGGAACTCAGTGGTCTGGAAGCTGACACAGGTCCGAGTTGGTTACGGTCCTTTGTCAAAGCCATGAAAGCGGTGGGAGTCGGTTGGAGTCAGCGTCGCGGTTGAGGACTTTCAGTCGGTGTTGAGAGAACCGTCTTCTTGGAGCACAAGGAGCGCTCGTTGCATTTCATTTGAAGGAAGACAGCCCTGACAGCACCCTAGACTGCCCTAGACGCTACTCAGGCCCTAGTCATGCTCTACTCAGGCCTTACTCACCCTTCATGCTTTGCAGGCTTGCCTACTCACCATTCATGCTGATGGATTTGCAAGATTGTGGCTAGAATCTCAGTGCCACCCCATTTGATCCGTCAAATGAGGACTTAATTTGGGAGTTTGATGGAGTTGACATGAGCTGACTAGGTCAACAAAGCAGGCGGAGTTCTTGGGAAGACTTGCCATGCGCCTAGCCCATACTCCAAGCTCGAAGCTCTTCAAGATGTTGGCTGATCGAATCCCTTCTGAGGAGTTCATGGCAAGCCCCGAAGAGGTCCTTTGGAATTTGTTTTTGAGACGAGCTTCCCCGCTTAATGACACTTGAGTGTTGTACTGTCACAGGCCGTTGAAGATCGAATGGCCAGTTTCTTACTGACTTCAGCGGGAAAGTCATTTGGGCATTTTGCTCACTCTTGCTCTGTCAAACAGGAAGCCATCACTTCGGTTTATGCAGACGATGCCAACACGCCAGAAGCTCACAGATGGACTTGATGTTCTGGATGATAATCGGCCGTGGCCTGCCTTGGCAACCCACTTTCACAATCGAATCTTCTTCTGGCTTTTCTTCTGTTCGTGGCATGTTGATGATGAAGGTTCCTTTTTCTGTGCTTTTGTATCTATCTCTATATATACATATATATTTCGGGTTGGCAAGATGGCAGGACATGAAACCCAACACCTCAACCCGAAACAGAACACTGTGCGACCTAGCGTCTAAAGGCGCCATGCATTTATAGGATGTTTTTGATAACTAGTAGACACGCAACTGCACCTAGGAGCAGTCTGTTTTCCTTTTCCACCCTACCAACATTGTATAAGTTAGATCATTTTCAAAGAATTTGAAAGACATCGACAGTCGTCCAACTGTATCTCCCTTGCAGATGGCCTACATTTAGCACAGCAGTGCAGACTTTTTACCCAGCGTTTGTCGCTGTGTTCCGCTTCGTCTTTTGTCCCGGCTTAGGCTTTGGACAAAAGGTAGGAACTCACCGTCTTTCCATAACACATATGTACGACATATGAGAAGAAAGCACGTCCTAGAGCTTTTGCAAAAAGCTCTCCTTATTTTCGCTGGAGGTGGTTGCTGACTGGTCATGCTGATGGGCTGATACCTTGGAATGGGAAAGTGCAGCTCTCAAGGCTCTTTGCCAAATCCTTGTTGTGCCAAGGTGGGTTCGAATCTGGGACCTGACCAAGATCAGGGAAAGGTTGGATCCAAAGACCGGCCTTTTGCGGGTCAAGGAGCCGAGCAGAGCTGTTCTTGCAGAATTAGTTTCTAGTTTCTTGTTAAGTTTCTAGTAAGTAAGAATGCTCCGTTCGTAGCGATGCCAGGAGCCCCTAGTAGCGTCCTTGCTCCTAGTAGTAAGGCCAGGAGCCCCAAGTAGCTTCTTGTTCCTAGTAGCAAACACTTGAAACACCATTTTTGCTCCGATTCCGGGAAGGTCTCACACTTTGACTTACGGTCCATCACGGTCCTCGTAATTCGGCCTCTTCTCCCTGCACAAACTTCAGTCTTGCATGGTCTAATAGCACCGTTCTTCTTTTTTAGGAGGTTGGGGAGAGGGTAGATAAGCGACAAAGTAGGTCAGCTTACAAGTAGAAGCTAAGTAAGCAAACAAGAAGCTACGGCTCAGGCTTGCTAGATTTAAGGGAAAGTTGAGACATCCCTTTGAACAGGAGAGCGGTGAAGAACCGACGTCGTTACCTATGTGTTAACGGCATGTGACTGAAGGGCTGTGATGTGTCACACGTGTCAGAACCATGGCCTCGAGGAGATTCAGCTGCATCAGATGGCAGTGACATCGTGTCAAGCTCAGGGAGTTCTCAGAACAAAGGCAAAGAACAAATGCTTTGCGCTCTGGTCAGAACAGATTCCTCTTTCAAGGTTGCAGCACTTCGAGATCCATGGAAAGGTTGCTTGCGCCTCAATGGAGCGATATATACATTCCAAAGCAATGAGCCGAGCTAGTATCTAGACTCCTGCAAAACCTTTTGCTAAAGCGGCTTGTTCATTTTTGTCTGGCACTCTCTGACCTGAGGTCATTGTCTCAGCATCCTCTGACTGGACAGTCGCTTTGTGCCGGCCTTAAGCTTGCAAACCAACGGGTCTTTTTGCCGAAGTGCGTTCTTTCCCGGATTCTCAAGTTGAAATGTTGTTGACAACGTGTTCTGTGCAAAAGGTCCAAAGACTACAGAGTGCATGGATCATGAGGCACACCATGGATGGTACGCGCATTGGCAACTTCAGCCATCGTGGTCCTCATTGGAGGACTGGACGGTGACAGAGATGTGGAGATGTCAGTGGTTGTGGCTAGATACATTTGGTGTGGATCCTCAACATGTTGTTACGTCTCTTCCGGGGTTGGCGAGGCTTTCAGACTTTAGCACTTGGTGCGACCAGTGCAGCACTCAGCTTGACTTTGACAGGGCGCAGCTCATGTTTGACACGACGTTAAGGACTGATTCATGCAATTGGTCTTTGCCAAAAGAAAGCTGTTGATATCACTGATGTGGAACAAGGCCACCGCCAGAAGAAGGCATCCGACCAGATGAGGATGACCGATGGGGTGCACTCAGCCCTCGAAGGAATGCTGGAGCTCCAGGTTCGGCATGGGTTTGGTGTTCAAGGGTGCAAGTGAGTTACTAATGAGACACGTTTTACAATCCCTTGGCAAGACGTGTTCTTATTTGTCAATTCCCGGAATGCTTGAAAGCTAGTTCACAGCTGCAACTGCTGTGAGGCGCGCGCCGTGATGGAGCAGCAACAAACAATGGCAGTGTCCCAGGCCATGAGAAGCAGATCGTGTTTTTGCCTTGTACTCTAGAGTAGTGGATTTACTTCACATTGACAATTGAATGCATGGCGGAGCCGTGTTCGTGATGTGGTAATATTGAAGTTCAGGTATTGGCATTGGCTTGGGGATGCGCACCCCAAGAGCCTCGAAGGCTTTGCCTCAAATGAAACCTGCAAGACGGAATTGAGGTTATTGCGGCTTCGCAGCTGCTAGTATTTCTTTGAAGCTTCTTAGTAATAAAGCTTTCTAGTAACAGAAAAAGCAAAACGGATGGAACTGCAAGCGGCAAGGTGCGAACGAGGCCAGTCATTCCACCTCCTGTTCATTCGGGGCAGGGTGACTTTGGAAAGCTAAGCGTTGTCGGCAGCTCAAGGGATTGTGTGAACATGAAGCATCTTGAAAACAAGAAGACAACGGTGATACTGTTGATGTGGAGAACAGAGTCGGACAGTGTTCATGCTTTGTTGTACTGCGGAGTTTGGGAAACCTGTACTGTGAACATGAAGAGTGAAGCGTTTGGCAGGATGTTTCGGTAGCCTTGAGGTTGAGCGGTTCAAGCCAGATATCACCCTGGCCGAGCAGGCCTGGGTGATTTGGGAAAGCAGCAATGAGAAAGTAGCATTCCACATCCCGTGATGGCTCCTTTACTGGAGTTTTTCAGAAACAAAACGACTTTCAAAGAAAACAATGACAAAAAATAGTCAACGGATGGCGGATGGGTCTTCCTTTGTGCAGAGCCTTGCAATGCCTTGGTGCTAAGTTTCGGCGACCTGTCATACTTTGTTATGACTTATGACTCAATCATCAGAGGAACGCCAACGCCTGCAGAAGTTTCACGCAAGTGGCTCAGTCAATGGTGATCATTTTGTGAGACCACATCCATCATGACAGAAATCAACAGAAAGTAGAAAGTAGATAAGACGCCTTAAGACGTGTTTTGTTTTCCCCACACCACCAATGAAGATCGTGAGGGCTTTTGCGCCTCTGGAGGTTTCAGAGCACACACAACGCTCTGGCAAAGTCTGGGGCAGGTGGGTAAAAAGTGAAAACGAGTGTTCTTTTACTACTAGTAAGGCACTTGTCACTTGTTTCTACTAGCTTCTTGTTACTACTAGTAAGGCACCTGTTACTACGAGTGTATCAGAGTCCATCCGACTCCATGCGGTTGCAACATGTTTTAAGGCGGTGATGCTGTGAGCAGTTAACGATTGCGTCAGCCAAAAATAGGCTGTGCAAGGTGGGGGCCGAATAGTTTCTGTTCATTCTTGAGGTGGGAGCAGGTAATTAGGGAGCTAGTAGTAAGACAAGAGGGGAGTAGTAGAGAGGAATCACAGTCACAATGATACAGAGCAAGACTTCGCATGGTCCACAGGGCTCTTAGATTTTCAGGAAAACAAAGCTTGACACGTTGTAGATGCCCTGGCGCTGTGTCAGGTCCTCGTGCCAAGTCTTTTGTATTGCTCAATGTGGACCGCAAAAAGTTCTGCACTTGTCTTGGTTGCAAAACCATTTTTTTGATCTGAAAACTGAGCTTCCAAGCGAGTGATACTTGCAGCTGGACAATGCAGCTCAGACCAAGACGGGCTTGCAATCTGAAGTCAACCTTTCCCCTCAGAGTAGATACAGTAAGGTCTTAAAGTCGTTCAGCTTGCACGGTTTACGTTTTTAAATCCTTGCTGCTTGCTTGGCCCATGTACTTGAAACTGAAGAGCTGAATGGCATCCAGAGCAGACAGAACATGTTTCGGGGGTTTGCCAATGGACCTCTGTCCAACGAGCAAAGACACCTGCGGGTGAAGTGTGGCAATTCTACTATGGCCATGGAAGAGGCTTCCATGCTTGACTGAGATTGTTGCATTTTTTGCCAAATCGTTCAACCATTAAGCTGACTGGCATGCGAATGCGAATGTTGGTTGAACTCTAACATAAGTGGCTGAAGTTCTGCAATCTCAAAATATTTGGTTCAGGATGAAGGTGACATGGAGGTGGCCGACTTAACGTTGCCCTTCGAGCTTTTCCGAACATTCTGACTCCTACCAGCAACAAGGCTGCACTGGTGGATTCCAAGATTGCGGAGTGCGACCTTGAAATCCTTCTCGAACCGGCCAACGGCTTGTGAAATAAAGTGAAACACTTCAGACATCGTGGCAGACCTTATCATTCACCTGCATGCTGACCGCTGCACGTATCAGCACACCATGCAGGTTCTTGATTACGTGTGAGCATAGGATAGCATAGGTATGTTTTGATAGTACTATTACATTGGCAATGCGAAGAGCGCTATTGAGACTCATTGTGTAGGACATTCTCTTACTGCCAGGGTGGTTGGCAAGTTTACTGTTTGTTGCTGCTCTAGACAACGAGCACTCGCACACGCACACACATTGACAAGTGACATTATTGCTAGCCTGGCAAATGCGTGCCTTGACGCTATTGACGGGGCCTCAGCTCGCAGCTTGTACTGTTTCCTTTTTCACTTTTTCGCTTTTCTCCGAAAGCATCTATTTCTATTTGTTAAACACCAACGTGTTCTCCCTTTTGGGCGACGCCTTGCGTTTTGTGTCGCTTGCGCTGCCTGGCTGATCACTTGGAGGACTTGCTTGGCTTCAGCAGCTCTCTACCTGGCATGCTGCAAGTCGCAAGACTGGATCAGGCGAACGTTTGCATGTTTTTCTTTTTGCGCATTCAAAGAAGTATTTCTCTTCCTTTTTCACATCTTTCTATTCCGTCTATTGCTTGTTGCTTATGTCTGCCAGGGCTGAGGCAAAGCCACCTCTTTCTGAACACGATGTGAGCTTCATTCTGGGGCCAAGGTGGTCAAGATCTTGCCATGTTACTGGATTCTTGCCGCGCACCCGTTTTGAACCTTTTCCCTTGTTCCAGTTGGAAGGTCAGTAGATCTTGATGCACATTTGCGACCCGATCCGATGCACCCATGGGAGAAGGTTTGAAATATCTTTCGTGAACAGTTTTATTCTTTTGCATAGCCAATTCACCCCAGGCCCCACCCTCCCTCTCTATGCAGATGTCGCTGCAACTTTTGCAGGTGGGAAGAGATGAACTTGGAAAAGAAGAGAACAGTGAACAAAGTAACAAAAAGAAACAAACGCAACGGAAGCATCTCCACTGGCCTGTCTAGGAGGAGTATGCAGGGAGCGACTTCATTGAGCTGGAGGCTCTGATGCGCTTGTGTGGTGCAGGGCTTAGTGGACTGAACAGAGCGTTTGTTTGTGCGCGCTTATCACTTCCGCTTCTGTGTGTGTGTTCTCCTCAAGGCATTGCTCTGAGCCTTTGTTCAGTAGCAGTTCCAGCCTCAGCCTGCCTCAATGACTTGGGAAACTGCAGCATCTCACTTGTCAATATTCGGACGACTGCATTGGCTGCAGTGTTGCCCTAATCAGAAAAGCTATGAACTATGGTGGCACACAGTTCATAGATAGTAGGAGTCCGGCCAAAAGTCTATAATCCAAAAAAATAGATAAAGGGATCGAACGTAGCTTATGATGTTGTTTTTTCAATTAGATTACGTAGCGGGCCCCCAGCTAAACACACCTATTCTGCAGCTGGGCGCTAGGTTTGCGGTAGACTTGCACTAGTGTTTGACTTAGGACGTGTTCAGAAGGTCGTCAGGTTTTGAAAAGTAGGTACTAAAATTTGCGCTAATTAGCCGCGCGCTAGCACTGCGCTAGATCCGCGCTAGCAGACATTGCCAGATGCCAGCATGGACCCTTCCAAACCTGACTTCCAACAAGTCTTTTGTTTCAAGCATGGCTTGAAGTTCGGAGATCAGCTGAAAACGGTGCAGCGCTAGTGACGCCTCTTACAGCGTGGTGCCAATACTTGCTTGGTCCATGTTTCCTTCATTAAGCAGCTGTGTGTGCCAAAAGTAAAGAATATGTAGCGGGCCACCATGCGAACACGACTTTCAGCCATTTTTGAAAGAAGACATTTCGACCAGATCCCTTATGTAGCCAAGGTGAGCAGCGGTCAAAACATTCCAAGTAATAACATGAAGAGAGGTTAATGTAAGATGCCTTCGCGAAAGCTAAGCATGCACTCGCGAAAGATCTTTTGCGTTTACTTTTCATGCGCGAAAGCTTGGGAAAGCTGGCAAAACTTGCAAAATCTGTTCCGTTCGCGAAAGCTTGCAAAGTTGAATTGCACAGAATACAGCGCGCGAACGCCAACACGCAAGCCGCGAGAGTGTTGCGAAAGGAACTTGCAAAAGAAGAGCTCATTGGAACAAATTCTCGCTAGGTTTTGAATAACGCTCAGGTCAGTCTCTTGGCTATCAGCCTTTGCCGAAATTTGCGGAGGTGGAGAAGCTTGGAAACCGGAAACATTTCCACAGTGCTATCACTCTTACCAAGCCAGAGACTGCCATTGACTTCGTCACCTTACAAGACCTTATTTAGAGACCATTTTTATCCATTTGTGGTACATTTTTGTGTGTTGAGCAGCGCAGGTTTGAAGTTGCTGCAGTGGTTGTCCTCCTCGCTGACGTGCTCATTTGCTTCTTTGCAGTCATGACATTATCGAGCTGGTGTTCAATCCGCTTGCGGCCTGCTGCCCGGTTAATGCAGAATCATGCAGAATCCTTTATGTAGGCCTGAAGTGTTTTTCAGATTTGTTTCCTGCCAAGGCCATGGATCACCCTGGTCCTTTTCAAATTGACCAACGGCGAGGCTGCAATTCAGCCTCACCGGATAGAGGCCACAAATGGCACTAAACCTGAGAGAATCGTTCTGAATCTTTAGAGTTCTTTGCTTTTTTATCATCAAATGATGAAGACTCTTCCACTCTTCATGCAGGTTGTGCCGGGTTGTGGTTCCCTTTGCCTGGTATTGGCTGGTATAAGCAGCTTCATTACGGTCCTGATGATAATGCTCGAGGAGTCTGAGGGTAAAAGCACCACCAAGGAGACTCGAGCTGGGTTTGAACACCTTTGAGGCAAAGCTGTAAGTTTGTCCATAAGACTAGACTAGACTAGACTACATGGTCACTGTGCACGTCTTTCGGGTGATTCATTGCAACGAGGAAGTATGTCCTTCAACGGTCTCTACCGTTTCACTCTTCTCTTACTCAATTTTTGAGCAACGTTGCCACGAGAACCTCAAGTTGAGCTTACTCGTGATGTCAATCTACCCAAAGCCTTTGCACACTGGCAAACACATACTGCTTGACAAGGACATGCCGCATTGTAATCGCTTTTCGCACAAAAGAATGGTGAAGGGTTCTAGAATCAATGCATCTGCTCGAACTGCACGATTTTGTCAATGTAGTAACAAAGAATATACTGTAGAAGCAACCCGCATCAACCACAGTGGCGCTTATGATCTGTGTCAAGCAAAGCAATGAACAATGGTGGCAAGATTCTGTAAAGCTGCAGAGTCTTGAACTTCATTCCAGAGCTGGAATGACCTCACAAGCAGCGCCCGGAACATGCAAGCTGGAAGGGTCAAGGTGAGTCGGAAGTGCAGTCACTTTGAGCAAATCGGAGAATTACGCATGGTACTGCTTGCAAGCGGAATGCACACAACGTTCGAACACACTGAACATTATGATGTGTCTTGGAGACAACATGTCAACAACACCACACTTTGCAAGTAAAGTACACAACAACTTCTGACATTCGTCGTTCAAACTCCTCGCTCTTTTGGAAACGTTTTGCACCACACCTCCTGCCACAAGCCTCATGCAACGTGTTAAGAACTTGCTCAGAACACATGTTGTGAAAGTGAAAGTGGTGTGGAGTTTTGCGTGTTCTATTTGCAGTGCTTTTGTGTTTGCCTCATGCATCGTGTTTCAGGACATGGGTTCAGCTGGCTTAGCAGCAGCTCGCTCCCCGCAACGTAGCAAGGTGGACACATGGAGTGTTTGCAGCATGTTTTGAAGTTGTCAACGTGCTATTTGACAGGATAGGCTTGTCCGCTTGGTGGTGCGGAGCTGAACACTGCTTTGAACAGCCCAGAAGACAGAAATTGATTGTCTATACAACTAAAAAAGATTAGCAATGTTACACAGTTGTGTTGCTGGGAGCGAGGCAACAAGCAGAAAGGAATTGGTGCAAGCGCAGCAGCGATGGGAGCTTCTGCCATGTTTGATAGGGTTTCCCGTGGCTTTCTTTCACAGCTATTGTACTGTATATACCTTTATTTATCGCGCTGTGTATTCCTCTATATTCTTTGGATGAAATCATTCAACTGGCCCAAGTGCCAGGCTGATAGGCTGCTGATCGGCAACTTGGCTTTTGCTTTGCTCCGGTCTTTTTTGTACGTCTTACGTATCGAGGCTTCGCTTGGCCGAGGATGTGCATCCTGTTTTGCGTTCCTCCTTCTTTCGAGCCTCTGGGTGGTAGGCGTGACTGAGACTCCGACGTTTGAGCATTTCGGGACGTGCTGTGAGAAGGACATCTTGGAGTGCTTTCGTTGCACAAGGCCAAAAGACGGTTGACCTTGGTGCTTGGATCTAAGCAATGCGTTGCAGCCTTTTGAGAGGACCTTGGACATGTAGGCCTTTTGTGAAAGCCTGAGAAAGCATTGCCAGCACTGCCGGTCGCTGAGGTCAAGGATGCATTAAACAAGCCAACTTGGAGGCACAGGAGGCTCAAACTGCTGCGGTCGCGAAGCAGGTTTTAGATATTTGGAGTTCTTTATGTTTTGGTAGGTGCACATGAACATGAACATGTTGGACTTGTTTTGTTCAGTGTTGACATGAAATCGGAGTGGAAGGTGTGCTAGAGTGCATATTGGGGTGCATGTTTGTTCAACTGAAAGGGAGTAGCAGTGTACGCTTACCCTGTTGAGCCGCTGTTGTGCTCTCGCACAATGAACAAAAAGGAAAATTGGGTTGGACACGCTTACAGCTAACGACAAAACGCAAGTGTTCCCACTGACACACGCATGGACAGTGAGCCGTGTCGGATATCAACCGTTATTTATATCTACAGTTGTAGGATCACCTAGCCATGCCTTGGTTTTTTCATTGCAACATGTTTATAAGTGCCGCAAGCAAGTTTCTCACAAGCTTGTGAGAGACTGCATTAGGCATGGCTTGCCCTGGCACCAAGACTACCGTGAGGCCCAGTGCATGTTAGAGCGCACAAAATGCCACTCAGCAACATGGAATCCAAATTACCTGCCAAGGCATGGAGAGATGTAAAGGCGGCCAGCATTTGCTTTGGTCTCGGGTAATTTTCATTCAGCAAACTCGGCTAAAGCGCCTTGAGCAGTGCAAGGTACTGGCATCAGAACGGCTATCAAAATTGATGACTTCAGGAAGGCTGCTGGAATCTCAGCTCTGACCTTTTGGGGCCTCTGCTCGAGTGACATTCTTGCTCTGACAAACTTTCAGACACCCATTCAAAAACGATTGAGGTTCAAGCAAAAGCAGATCTGACAGCGCAACAGGTCAAAAGACGCGTAGGATTTTGGGGTGAACAGCGCCACCAAGAGACGGAGCCAGAAAAAGACTTCCCTTCTTTCAGACTTGAATGTTCATCCTGGCTCCCAAACTGCTCAACAGTCATATTTCTCAACAACGTTTTTTGTTTGGAGGTATGAAAGCTTTGTGGAGCGCGTGTTGAAGGCTGACCATCAGCTCCTTGGCCCAAACGACCTGTGAAAATGGCCACGAAGTTCATCAAGAACGTTCCTCGTGCTTGCTGTGGGTTGCCCAATTACTTTCCCTGGCTTCAGGCGGTGCTTGGATGAGATCCGAGAAGCAACAGCCATTCTCGAAGAGTTTGCATCTGCATGATTCGCGCAATTCGGTTGAACCGTTGAACCCGTTTTTCATTGTATTTGCACCCTGGCATTCTCCGTGCTTCAATCCATGTTTTGGTTGCTGTGCTTTGGATCTTTGGTTGTGGAATATAGTTTTTCCAAATACTGCGGCCAGGTGCAGGACCTTAAGAAGCAACATTCGATTTTTGATCAAGGAGGGATTATGCGAGCACTTTTCAGTGAGCTACTGCCTTTCACCCGTGCAGGAAGATATCTCAGAGCTCGAAACAAATGTGGAGCTAGGATGTCAGCATCAGCCTCATGTTTTTTTGTTCTTTTTTTTTTTTCTGCATATTTTTGCAAGCCAGAGTGGATGCTGATGCAATTGAAGTGTTCCCTCGCTGTTTTGACTTTCCAATAAAGTCTTTGAGACTCAGGTTCTATGTGAAGGCATTTGTGCCAAACACAAGCTGCATCTTTGTCGATGTAGGCGGGTTGAGTTGGAGAATGCCATGGTCCATGACCCGTCATGATGCAACGACAAAAAACAGCACAGTTCAACATGATTCCGGTCATCTACCAAAGCAGCTATGCCATATCATGAGTTCCAGAGATTCTTTTGGGTCATCAACCTCGGGCATACGTTGCTATTTTCATTTGTTGCAGCTTTGGCAATACCACGACAGAAGATTCCAAAGGTCGCCTTCGCCTGCTGTATCTCGATTCCATTTTCTGTGAAATTATGAGAGCCCACTGCCACTGGCTTTCATTCTTTGTGTCCTTGCTTTCCGACAACTATGGCTGATTGTACGCGAATGAGGGCGAGAGCAATAGCAAACCAATGCAAACAAACCATATGCCCGAACCTAATTGAAGCAACTCTTTCTGAGCCTGAAGAGGCTTGAACTTCAGATTAGAGATGCCGTTGGCAGATGCAGAAGCATTCCTCAAAGACAAGGTGCTCGTTTTTTAGCTATGGACATCAAACTTTAGTAGATAAGAAGTCATTCTCGGAATTAGGAGCAGCACCTGCTCAACGGGCTGGAGCTGAAGAGCAAGCGTGTTGCACGGGTTAAGGAGCCGCTTTGTTTGGAAACACGGTTGTTTCATTTTTAAGCCCGCTCCCCCCACTCCCTACTTAATGAAGGAATTGAGGTAGCTAGTAGGTACAGGACGCTCCTAGGTAGGACGCAGGATAGCTCGCAGGATAGCTCACGCTTCTTCAAGGAAGCTCACCCCGCCACCCTAAAGGCGGCGGGGGGAAGCTTCCTTGAAGAAACGCTCGCACTATTCATTTGGTTCCTAGATTTTTTTAGGGAAACTTAAGCTAGTAGGAGCAGCTTTGCAACGAGTTCTCGTCTTAATCAGCTGTTGGCCAGGCTGACATCCATGAGGCCTTGCACCTGATAGATTTGATGACAAGTGTTCAGTGCCTTGGTTTAATTAGGCCTTGTGCCGCCAATAGTTCAGGGTTCATTGCAAGGTGGTCCACTGCTTTGCACAGCATTACACAGCTTTGTCGGAGGAGTGGCCGTGGACCTGGCAGCTGAGCAAAAAAGAGTCAGCAGCTGGCAGCTGTTGCAGACCATGACACACTGAGATGATGACAAAAGCTGGTCTTGACATCTCACGCTTTTTGTCGCCAACGTCATCCATTTCAGGAAATGTCGACAGCAACAGTGGAGATGAAATGCATTCTCACCTAAAGCCGGCCTTGCCACCTTGACAAAGTGGCACAAGCGGGTTTGTCTAGAAATGCTCCAGCTCAGATACCTGCAACCCACAAAAGTTTAAAGCAGGATATGGAGAGCTCTGACACTTGAATTGCCCAGCCATGTCGTTGCTTGCATCAGAGACTCATGCAAAGGTCAGGGACCAATCGAATTGATCAAACTGTCCTTACTGCAGAATTTTGGAACACTCGAACAGAGTGAGTAGAGCTGATTCTGTCAGCCTCCTTCGCATGTTCAGAATACCTGGAGTGATGCCAGAACTTGCAACAGCAGCCCAATGTGCTAGGCAAATGTCACCACCAGTGAAAGCTTCGTGACAGTGGGTTGGTGCACACAATTGATCACAAGTGTAGAGAACAAGATACTTGATAGATGTCTACAGCACATGCACAGTCCGCAAAGCTTTCCCCACACGCAGACCTGCACAGTTGAGGTTGCAGCCGTTCAGAACTCCTTGCAGCAGGTCGTTTTGGCAGTCCAATTGATCGAATCCCTTCCGTTAGAACCGAGAAACTCTGCAGGTAGAGAAGCATTTGGCACCTTTGCTGTCAAAGAGTTCAAAAGAGGCAGGGCACTGTCCAACTTGCTGCATACAGTGCACATGCAGGTCTCACCACTTTTGGATGTCTTTTTGTTTTTGCAGGTCTCGCGCCAGCTGGAAGCGCTGGAGAATGCAGAGCTGCAGGTGGGCTAAATCCACATTTGCACAGCTGATGGTCCTTGAAGCCGTTGTTATCCTGCGTATTCAGGTCAGCCTTGCTTATGCTGCAGCTTCTTTGTACTTTTGCCATCTTCTTTCGCAAGGAAATTGCAGTCGAGTCATGTTGCCACTTAGCAAAAAGTCTCCAAATATCTCAACATTTCCGTTGGCGCATTTCATACTTAGACTTAGACTCGAGCAACTTCGACCTGCAGTATATAGACAGAAGAATATATGTGGTTTGGAGGCAAAGTAAACATGACCTGGAAACAGCTTAGTTGAAATCTCTCAAAGGGATGCGCACCACCGCAGGAGTTGACCCAAGTGACCACCCTATTCGACAGGCATCGGTCACCGGTCACTTTTCCACCAACAAGTTGCGAAGAGACTGCGCTTAAATCTTTCATGTTACATCTTCTTTAGTTATGCAGGAATTGGACCGGATTCAGTTGTACTTCAAGAAAGTCCGGACAGCTGCAGAAGGGGTCTGATCCTGGAATTGCAACGAATGAACAACAGCATGGATTCGCAGGCAGTCAGGTGCCTTCAATCTAGATTGTTTATGAGGCGGCTGAAAAAGAGCTAGCAAAAGATCGACTTCGGGTAGATGCTGACGTGCCTTGGCAAGTGGAACAGGGTGTGGAAAGAAGGTACTTGTCCTGAAAACCAAGGCTGCCAAGCGCATTGTTCGCCACTACACGCATGCAGCCGAGGTGACACTGGGTGAAATAATAGATTTGGATGGCTTTGAGACAGCTCAGGTGATTCCTATTATTTTCATCGTTTACATTTCTGTGGCATTTTAGAGGCCGCAGCACAGAGAAGAAGCGATGAAGCAGATGCCTTAAAAACCTCCTGAGGTTGAGGAAGACAATATAGCATGAATTCCAAGTAGCACTTTTGTAGCTGCACACTAACGACTCACTACATCATGCTGCACACTAACGTTTCTAGGACTCACTAGCACTGGGCTATTTGCTGCTGCTGCTGCTGCTGATGCAGTTGCGCTCACCAGCCTGTACTGCTTGCACAACAAGCGCGTGTGCTCCATCATCACAACTGCTAGCAGCTACTGCCATCTGCTGCTAACAGCTGTTAGTGCTCATGCCAGATTTACTCCTCCTGGCTAGCGGGTTCTAGTTGCTTTACAGCATTGTTGTGAAGACTGCGACCTGTAACACCTGCAAGTTGACTACTATCTGAGTTTGTCTAGAGTTGCTTCCTTATATTAAACGATTTCCGTGTTCAGTATCCACGACTGAGGTGGCGAGAGTGAAGCGCTTTTACAAACGCATATAGAATGTTTTTTCTGGAACTTCACCAGGGAGAACACCCGAAATAGTCTCTGGAGATCTATAGAGTCTATAGTCGTAGTCTAAGGCGATGCAGGCTATGCTGCAGATGGAGGTGCCACAGCCCTCAGAGGTGGTGAGCTGAGCATAGCAGCACAGCACCAACCCCACAGACCCCACCAGCACAGCCTGTGGCACAGCCTGTGGCATAGCCAGAATGCTGCTCAGCTCTTAAGTCTCCCAGAGAATCTAGGAACAACATGGTTAGAAGTGTGAGCTATCCTGGGTCCATGTGTAGTAGCTTACTCCCTTAATTAAGTAGGGAGTGGGGGAGCGGGCTTTTAAAATAAGTATACCAGCATAGATTATGCCCTGCCTAGGCCTGTTTGTTTGGCCAATCCTGTTCCAGGTATGGAACTATTCCCTAACACTTGGGAACTATTCCCTAATACTTAGGAACTATTCCCTAACACTTGGGAACTATTCCCTAATACTTGGGAACTATTCCCTAATACTTGGGAACTATTCCCTAAGACTATTCACTATACTATTCCCTTACTAATACTTGGGAACTATTCCTAAATGCTGTGGAACTATTCTTAAATACCTACTAGCTGTCATTAGTCATTAGCTATCTAAATTATATTTTGGACTGGGTCTTGGTGAGGGTCTGTCTGTTTGTGCTTGGATGCTTTTCGATTTTCAGCATCTTTGGAAGGAACACTTCACAGCACAGTGTTTACATTCCATGAACCACTTGCGACAGGCAATCACACTAGCATTGCATTACACCTCACAACTGAGCTCTAAAGCATTGCATTGCAGCATTGCACTTCCCTGTCTCAATCATGTCCCATGTGCGATTGGTCCAGCAATGGGAAAGAGCAGCGCGCAGGAAAAACAAGGGCGACATCACCAAGGCCAACGCCGCACTAAGATTAAAAGACGGAAGCGAGTAAAGAAGAGAAAGCAAGCTGCTCCACCACTACCTGTTCCACCACGGCCTCCACGCCTGCCAGCAAATCGGCAACTACCACCACTGCGACGTAGGCGTTGTCCTCAACCTCCCCCACCTCCCCCTCCTCCACGAGCAGAACCGCAACTATCCGCACAGCCCGTTCAAGATCAACCAGATCAACTGCATGAGCTTCTTCAAAACCTATATGTGCCACGGCTGTTTAGGCTCTGGTTTGCTGCGTGTTGGTGATTAGGTTGGCACCTGTGTCACAAAAGTACAGTGGTGATACTACCATGGGATAAAGTTAGTCCATTTTTACAGTACATACGTAGCACGTAGCCCAGTTTGCAATGATGCGCCGCTTCTCAAATCGTGGTGGTGATGATGAGAGCTCGACTGACTCGGAGGGTCCAATGTCTCAGCTGTTTGCAAATACTGACTCAGATGTTGACAAGAGTTCTGAGAACCTTGGGCCTATATAGTAAATATCGAAATTGTTTTTTGTTATCATTGTTTTGACTCTTGACTTGGGTGACTTGACTCCTGACGTTGAGACCAGATACGGACATGTCACATTTGACATTTCTGGGTGTTGGCCCGCGAATTCAATTCATTCATTTTGATTCTGACCACTGGGCAGGGGCCAAGTGTTAGTTGTCTTTTGGACTTGGACTTGCATTGAATCACAAGCCAAGGGTAATGCCATTGGAAGGCAAGACTCTACCCTTTTTGAACTGGCCATTGGAGTACTGCAAGCGGCTCTCTTGGTTGCATTAAAGATGGATATGGCACGGTATGAGATATGAGTCAATGGTCAATGTGTCAGTGAACCTGTTTAAATGATGTGAGTCAGGTCATGTCAAGTCAATTCTATCCACTTAAGAAGGATCTACTGATCTACATGATCTTGTCAAGTCCAAAAACTAGTCCACTTCATTTTTTGGGTTGCTTAGTGACACGTGTTCAAGTCAACTAGGTCAATGTCAGCAGGGCTGCCACCGCTTCAGATCGTAGAGGGCTGCGCTGGAGCCGCAACGGGAACATTCGTTCTGAAGCCTGGCAGGAACTGAGGGAACTTTCAAATGAGCCTGGTAGACTCACTGACAAACACGCCTTGGGCACAAAGAAATTGCTGGAACCAGGTTTGAATTGAAGTGTGAGCTTTGTCTTTCGGCTTGGCTGTGCCACCACCAAGGAAGGAGATCGTGAAGACGCTCGCTGACTTTGGGGCCACCGACCTAAAGTTCAAATCCTACCCCATGGAATGTGACAAAAAGAAGCAGATGTTCATTCAACGCCACCATGGTGAGCACCGTGTTTTGTCAGCGCCACTGACCCGCTTTTTGTTCAGGCAGGGTCAGGTTGCGGGATTGAGGGCTATAGCCAAGAATGACGTAAACATTTTGGGGAAAGCGTTGAAAGCAAAGACTGTAGACACTGTAGACACTTTTTGCCAAACACAATTTTGCCCAGTCCAGTCTAGTCTGAAGCCTTGTTGCTTCTTCCCACAGCCTTCGTTGCCAAAGATTTTCTGTTCACCCTGGGGAGATTTGCCACCGTCTCTGTTTGGTAGTGAGCTAAGTCGCCCACATGCTGGATGATATTGGTTTTGGCGTCACTGGGGGGCATTGCTCGCTCCACGGTAAACGATGCCACCTTCCCGCTGACCCAGAGGAGCAATGGCAATGGGAATGAGAATGTGTGGCATTTGACTGAAGTTTTTTGTCACTAGGCTATGGCCATGGCTATGAATTACGAAATGATGTTCTATGATTGACTATGGACTACGAAAATCCCTGAAATTATGGTCCTGTATGAAACTAGAGGCCAGGCTGGGCAGCTTTAGGTTCTCCAAGTTACAATTCGATTCTTTTTTGATCAGGAAATCTCTCCACATGACGCCAATTGTTCAGAAGTTCCTGGATGCCTGGATGTCAGGACATATTTGCCTTCGGGCCACCGTGTCGCCCATACTCGATTCTGAAC